CGTACGGCGGACAACGTACGACGTACGACGTGGAACAGACCCACAACAACCATGCTCAAAACGGCCTGATTCGGGTTCTCTGACCTCAGAAACGTCCAGAAAACATGTTTTTGAAGTTTCGTAAATTTTGACCTATTGCAATACTTTCCCCTTTCACACTAGGTGTGTGCGGAAAAGTAAAAAGTTGCATTTTCTTAATGGAAGAATCATCAAACAGCGCGTCCCCTATTTCAATTGGCCCGAAATAGACTTTTTGTGACAGGTTATAGTTTCTGTATTATGAATGTAATATATGCCAAAAACGGATGTTACAAGATAAAATATTTCACATTTTCAGCATCATTAATTGCAATGGATTGACGAATCGAAAAAAATTGTAAATTTCAAATTTTCTTCCATTTTTTTCGGTAATCAAAGTTAAAAACCACGAAAAACTCAGACCGTGTCGTTCTTGTGGTTTTGAATTGTTGGTCATTGCAAATCACACAACGAAATACAGCGTGTTCCTGTCATAAGTAGCAGTTTTATTGCAACAAAAAGTACACCACACAATTTTATCACAAAACGGAAATGTCTGTATGAATTAAATGAGAAATGTGCATGAAAAAGAGCCACGGCATTGATAAAATCGACTTATATATAAATACGCATTTATTATGACCAAATTCAGCAGTATTTGCATAGCCGTTTGTCGTTATTTCAGTTTTTGTGCCGTTAAAATGTCTGTGAATAAAAACAATTTAGAAAGTGATATAAATTTGTTGTTTCAGCGTCCAAATGAGCCGCTGTTCACTGCAAAGGATGATGGCAAGACGGCATTTAATATGCCACTGGATTTCTACACAGATCGTTATAAGACAATTGGAGTCAATGTGCGTACCCGTTTTGATGACAATGTTGAGCGATACGTCAATTTACGATCAGTTCAACATCCTAATCTTGATTTCACCAAACCGGTGAAACGTCGCGGACCATTTTCACTATTCAATCAAAATCATCAAAAAATTGCCGGACAATTGATACAAATTCTAATGGATGCAAGCGAACGTGATTTTGTTTCACTATCAGCCTACATAAAGGATCGCGTTAATCCGTACTTATTTTTGGTTGGACCACATAATTCAACAAAAGAAAAATTTGTTTTCATTTTAAAGTTTTGGTTTTTTATTTTCAGTATGCGTTGGCAATTGCGGTGCAACATCGACGAGAAACGCAACATATTGCATTGCCATCAATTGTTCAACAATTTCCCGATCAATTTGTCGATTCGTCGGTTTTTCCAGAAGCTCGTGAGGAAGGCACTATTGTCCCGTCTGCGAGCCGTATACCAATTCAAATTGAATTGAATTTTACGGGATCGGAACGAGATCAAGAACAGCGGCTCGCTTACTTTCGCGAGGATATCGGAGTTAATATGCACCATTGGCATTGGCATCTTATTTATCCTGGTAGAGTGTTGGAATGTTGTTATTATTGGCTATTGGTACTTGTACTAATATTTTTATATTTGTATATTACATTTCAGCTGAAGGTCCAATGAACATTGTAGCAAAGGATCGTCGTGGCGAACTATTTTATCATATGCATAATCAAGTAATGTGACATTTTTTTTACTAATTTTTATGAATTTCTATTGATTTTTGGGAATTTTCACTAATTTTTCTAACCTTTTCTTCAATTTGCCTTTATTTTTATGACTTTCTCTTGATCTTCATGAATTTACATTCATTTTTATGATTTTTTTGTGCAATTTCATGAACTTACTTTATTTTTCAAAAAATTTCCTTCATGTTCCATATAAAAAAAATCAAAATTCTTATTATTTACCAAATCTTTCATTTTTCTTTCGCTTAAAATAAAAGCTATTGGCCCGTTATAACACTGAACGCTCTTGCAACAATTTGGAACATGTCAAATCGTTGGGTAATTTACGTGAACGCGTTCTTGAAGGATATTTTTCGAAAATTGTTCGAAGTTTAAGTAATCGTGCATACCCAGCTCGGCCGTAAATACATACACCGTTATTTTAATTCTGACCATGAGAAATATCTTTTTTTGTTTTGTTTTAGTGACGGTGCCATTTTGAAGGATATCAATCGTGATGATCAAATCGTTGAAATTGTTCAATTGGAACAATTACGTGATCGCATTTATCAAGCAATTGATCAAGGATATGTCATTGAATACGGTACAAATCGTCATATTCCATTGAATGACGAAAAGGGAATCGATGTGTTGGGCAACATTTTGGAATCAAGTGCCATTTCCCCAAATCGACAACTCTATGGTAGCCTACACAACAGTGGTCATGTTGTAAAGTGCACAAATATTTTTGAATCAATATATCTAATGAAATTAATGTAATACCATTTTTACGATAGGTAATCGCATTTGTTCATGATCCTGAAAATAAGCATCTCGAAGACTATGGAGTAAAAATGCGTAAAATAGTTGTCATGAAATTTAAAAATAATTGATTTTCATTTGAAATTTAGGTGATGGGAGACGTAACGACCGCAATGCGTGATCCCGTTTTCTATCGATGGCATGCCTTCATAAATTCAATGTGCATCAAACTGAAGAATACACTTCAACCATATTTCTACAATGATTTAATGTACCAAGATATTCACGTAATTTCGATCGGTGTACAAATTACAACAAACGTACCAAATGCAAGGCCCAATGTTTTATTGACTTATTGGCAGAAGTCTGACGTTGATCTTGGAGCCGGACTCGATTTTGGACCCGGCAACGTTTATGCGCAAGTACGGTCCAATTTTGAATTTTTTTCTTCAATGTTTCGATCGGACACCGTTATCTTACCTTTTCATCTCTTACCATTGACTTCATCGCCTTTTTAGTTCACCCATCTGCAACATGCACCATTTGAGTATCGAATAAATGTGATCAACGAAGCACATACCATAAAATATGGAACGTGTCGTATATTTCTGATTCCAAAGTTTAATGAGCGCGACCAGCCTCTTACCTATCAAGAACAACGTCTTTCCGCAATTGAAATGGACAAATTTGTTGTTGCTTGTATGTACAAATGATTTTCTACACTCGTTTAGTTGAGCTACCTAATTTTTTGATGTTTTTGTTCAGTAAACCCGGGCCAGAATGATATTCGTCGACGTAGCGACAAGTCAAGTGTCACCATTCCATATGATAGATCATTTCGACGTATTGGAAGTCAATACCAACCAAAAGATGCCGAAGAGTTATCAGAATTTCAATTCTGTGGATGTGGTTGGTCCAACAAATTCCAAAATTAATGAAAGTATTAAATAATAACACCGAATTTTTTGTATAATTATAGGTTGGCCGCAACATATGCTCTTGCCAAGAGGAACCATGACCGGAACCCGATTTGATATTTTCGTAATGATAAGCAACTATGAATATGATCATGTCGAACAAACATCAAATAGGTACATTTTACGACTTCTCATTTGAATCACATTATTGATAGTGTGTTTTTTTATTTATTTATAGCAGTTCGCCGTGCAGTGACGCATTTTCATTTTGTGGCTTGAGAAACAAAAAGTATCCAGACTTGCGCCCTATGGGCTATCCATTTGATAAAAATGCCCAACTTGTGAACAATCAAAATGTTAACAGCTTATTTGAATTTAAACAAAACTTATCAAACGCTACACTGACCGAATGCACAATTCGCTTTACAAATACAGTCATCGATCGTAAATCTTAAGAATATTATTGTTTTGAAAAATGGATTTTAATTTTAGATGTCTCTATATTTCAATAAAATTTAAAAGCCATGGTAGAGTATATTTTTACTTTTCCGCACACACCTAGTGTGAAAGGGGAAAGTATTGCAATAGGTCAAAATTTACGAAACCTCAAAAACATGTTTTCTGGACGTTTCTGAGGTCAGAGAACCCGAATCAGGCCGTTTTGAGCATGTTTGGTGTGGGTCTGTTCCACGTCGTACGTCGTACGTCGTACGTTGTCCGCCGTACGCAAAATTTGTCCATCGATTATCTCACCCCCCAGAAAAGTTATTTAAAATCTGACTGTACAGGATGATTGGGGGTCCCGAGGAATAGAAATCATTAGATTTTGAGCGATTTTGGTCGATGGAAAAAATTGTCATGCCTGGAGTGATACCTATGAAAAAGAGTCCAATTTTCGTCCAAAAGTCATACTTAATGTAGACTCAAACACTCAAAAATATGTATTGGGGGGTTTTTTGGCACGAGAAAACCGAATCCGAGGTTAATTTTGAGATACAATCACTTTTACTTTTTCGCACACCTAGTGTAGGAAAGGTATTGTATTAGGCCAAAAAATTAAAGTCATCCCAAAACATGTTTTCTATGCATATTTGATGTAGAAAACACGATTGGAGATGATTTTGGTGCATATTAATGTGCGTCGCTGTGTGTGATGTGTCCTGTGTCCTGTGTCCTGTGGCGTGTTGCCAAAATTTGTTAACTCGATAAATCTTCTTCCAAAAACTCAATTCAAATTCTGATTTTGCAGGATGATTTGGGACTACTAGGAGACGTGCTGATTAGTTTTTGAGCAATATCTGTTGACCGGTGTAATTTTTTTTTTGTCCGAACGGAGTACGCACAATCCATACATTTTACTTGTTTGATCATTTTTCAACCATTTTGGTGACACGATGGTTTCGTGCTCAGATATGAAATTCAAAATCTGACTTTACGGGATGACTGGGCACTACGAGGAATAGATCTGGTCAAATTTCCAACGTCATTGATTGATCGGTGTAAAACTTAGACTCTGAAGAGGCACTTATGAGAAAAATGCCTTAAAATGATATTCTTTCAATTTGAACGCTGCAATAATGTGAGGTGGGGTTTTTTTGGCACGAGAAACCCGAATCTGATGTTAGTTTTAAGATGCAATCAAAGAGGTAATGTCAAATGCCCTTATAAAGTCCCTAACGCAGTTTCTTACACCCTTTTACTCACACACAAACAAAACAAAATGTCAAAAAACAGCTGTTCGAGCGAACCATTCATAACCAACTTCATGCTACTTGTAGATTTGGAATGAAAATAATGTTTGAAATTTCTTTGATATTTCGAAAAAATGAACTAATTATTTTGGAAATTTTTAATATGTTTAGAATAAAATAAATTTTTAAACATTTTTTGTACTAACAATATTTTAATAAACATTCACTTAAAATTTAATTTTCACAATTTCTATCAATTCACAAATTATGATTCTTAGCACTAGCATGAAGTTGGTAATATGTCAACCTTAAATCATTCATATAAAAACATATTGTGTTCACGCACACATAAATGTTGGGGACTTTTGACAATTCCACTTTTCACAGACTTTTCATACAAAAATCCACAAAAAATTTCATTTTTGTATGAAAGACTTGCCTTTGTGGTACCGTAATGATGTGAAACTTTGAACAGGCTATTTTTTTGATTGAAATTTCTTTAAACTTGGTGTGATTATTTATTTTGATAAGAAAATAATATTCACAAGTTTTCACGGTAATTTAAATTACTGCAACCATAGATAGACCATCATTTCTGTTTATTCCCAAAATTTCGGTTCCATGCGGAAAAGTCAGCTTGCGTACGTAAGCCTCTTTATGTTTATTTTGAGATTTTTCGTGTAATTTGTAATAATTAAAAGATAATTGTTTTCTACTATTTACAAATAAAGTGTAAAATATAGTAAAAAATTATTGTCTTTCAAAAAAAAGAAGTAAAATAAAGGACACCATACTAGTTGTTTCCATAATTTTACTTGTATAGTCCCCAACAGTTCTATGTGCACTTTTGACAATTGGTTGGCAATATTGCTTCTGTTCCAATATAGTCATCCTACTCTCTCTACAATGCTATTAAGAAGAATGCGATGATAAACAAATAAAAATGTAAACAAGCCACACGCGACTGCGAAATGCCGAATATGGGCTTATGTGTATTCATGCGCGTCTCTCTCACTCATATGCATTCATACTTGAACATAATATTGCGCAGTAGAAATTTCGCGATCATAGGCAATACGTGTGTCGAGTGAGAACTTTATTCCGAATGTGAACCAATACATACGCACGCATGTTTAGCATGTCGCTTGTTTACTTTTTCATTGGTTTGTCATTAATGCGTCGCATAAAATAAGTAAATGTATTCAGGGTTGTATAATACTTATTATCCAATTCCTTTCAGGACTTCATTTTTAAAATGAATTGCATCTATTTTTTTTTGTCAATGTTGAAATAAATATATCTAATTTTTTTTGAATGGCTGGAATATTGAGAATAAATTAAATAAAAACTGTAATAAAAACGGTCTGTTTTTCTCGCATTTCCGGTTTGAAAAACTACCAATCGATTTTTCTCGCTTTTCCGATGGAAATATCGAAAAAATAAAAAAATTAGGCTGGGCATGTTACCCCCATATGTGCTCAACACCCAGAACACTTTGG